AAATTTTCTCTGAATTAATTTTAATTATGACTTTCAGGTTTCAAGGACCTCTGCTGTTAGAATAAAGCATTTGAGCACAGATGCTGTATAAGCCTAATAAAGATTTATATCTTGTGACTAGTAAAATACTATAAGCCTCACTGAGATGAGTCAGGACCTGACACTAAAGAATTATAATCTCTAATGGGAAGTTATTTGTATTTCTTGAGCTAGCGGGCAACCTAAGACTTGTATCTGATGCTCTGACAGATTTGGTGTTGCTGTTATTTTGCTGTTGTCTTCTGATGAAGGGAAACAGCTGTTTAAAATATGTATTACTCTTAACTTTGTTCTATACTGTTGCCAACGCTTCTGTAAAATTACTTTGTTAAAGCATCAGTCAAAAAGCCAAGGATTTATTGACTGAACTTTAGTTTCTGAGCAGGTTTACCTGTCTTTCCTCTGAAATGATTGTTTGCAGAATAGGTGAACCCTACACTGTTGTTCATTATGTTTGTTTTCTGTGAAAATAATGTTGTCTTATTATTAGCCCAACATCTCCTCACAAGTGCCATATATATGTATGCAGGCTTGCTTCATGGTTGGTGGAGATGAACAGGATTAAAGCAGGGATGATTAATGGTTAGAAAACTCTTCCTATATGTCATGTTACTAAGGCTAAATGACCAAAATAGTCTTTTCTTTCAAGGAAACAATTACTCTCTCTACAATGACTTTATCATACCTGTCAGATTACAACCCCTGGTCCTCCAGCTTGTGTCAGTTCTTCCTCTCAGCAGGGACTGAAGCGGGCTGCTCAGTGACATGCAGTACTTGTTTGCAAGTTATTTCTTCAAAATCTAAAACACCAAAATCCCATATCTGAAGTTAAGGCTGCATGTATGTGTCAATTTAAGATTAAATTTTCCATCAGCCTGAAGCCATTAGCTTTTTTCTCTGTGCGTAGGCTATAAATTTATTGCAGCATGAAATATTTTGTATTTTGCAGGTAACTAGCATACTTTTAGGATGAAAATATGGGAAGCTTTTTGGTCATTAAAATTTGGGGTGAAAAAGGAGAAAATGAGGTTAGAGAAGTGGCTTGCTCTCTTTGTAGTTCATGCTGATTAAAGAACTCAGTTATTGCTAATATTCTTTTCCCTAGTTCTAAACAGACAAAAGAAAGTAAGACACAGATATCTTCTTCAGAAGATGATATATCTCCTCCACCTGTGCTACCTCTGGCACTTAACTTCTCACCAGAAAAAACTGCTACAGAGGTAGTAGAAAACAAATTAAAAGAGGCTGAAGTACAAAATCAGCTGGCTGAAGAGAGACAAACTGAGGTAAGAAACGACAATATATTTTCTACAGAACTACTAAGTAAACTCTTTAAAAATTATTTCAAGATGAGGGATAAGTAGGAAAACCACTCAGTATACATGAATTTAAAATGGATTGACTCTAAGTATGTGCACCCTCTAGTGCCTATTTTTGGCACTGAATATTTGTTCAGTGTTTCCACTAAGTTTGTTCCCAACACAGAACTAAATGGTCAAATACTTGCAGGTTTCATATTAAATTTCCACTTCTGGATAAGTGCTGTCAAATCCTTGTGGATTTGATTAGAAAAGCAGTGTCACAGGACATTTCCTATTGCAGGCTTTATGGCTGCAATAGGAAATTTTATGCCCTGGGGTGGGGATAAAAGGCACTGCTGTAGCTAAATTCAGTAACCTAATAGCAGTTCAAATCTCCATAGAATGAGTGAGGATTAAACTCCAAAGCCCATGTAGCGGTAAACTTAGTGTCCTGTACTTAGTCCAGTGAACACTTTTCCCCTCTCCCAAGAATCTAGTGGTGTCATACTGAAAGCTGGCACCCCACAGGCATTAAGGAGAAATGACTGAACTGGTAGTTCTGAAATATTAACCTGTCAAAGTGGCTATTGATTTACAAATATTCAGGTGTAGAATAATCTGTAGATTAATTACTTGATGTTATTGCATCAGTATTTTCCTTGTTAGCTTACTTGATGACTTGAAGTATCTGTTTTAGAATGGCTTAGCACATACATAGAACTCTGCTTTTAAGTCAAAAACTGTTTTATGCCCCAGGGAGCTCCTTTGCTTTGTCTCACTGCATTTCCCCATTTGTGATGCCATTGACAGAGCAAGAGCTGAGGTTTTTACACTGTGTGCAAACAACCCTGCAAGAAAAATAGCCAACCTGTAAATTAAACCTGTCCTGTGATTATTACAGCTGTATAAGCTGAATTTACTGCTTAAATGTTTATGAAGGAAGCATTGAGAACAGAGGGGAAAACCTGAACTTTTTTTTTTTAAGGCCCTACTGGTAGACATTGGAATAGACAAATCTCTCCCACACACTTTGGAATGTGAAAGCAGACCTCTGATTGACCTTTCCAATACTCCTGAAGTGAATAAGATTACTCCTCTAAAGCCTACAATCTCGGGGCAGGTAAAGGTAAGTTATATTCAAGTCTTCTGGTGCAAATATGATACCAGAAAAATGTCAACTGGCTGCATGTACTTGTCTGCAGAGCAGCTCCACAATACTGTAAGCATTATTTAATATTAGCTTAATATGTTCAATATGATACTACATACTAAAGTGCTCTTAAGTAAAGAGACCGTAATGTTTAAAATCAAACAATGTGTTCTAAACTGGAGTTCAGTGAGCAATCTGCAAATAGGAAAAGGAGGAGGATGAAGAAAGAACTTAATGCTTAAAGCAGTTGTTAAAGAATGAAAGTTTTCCAGAGCAGGAATCGAATGCTGTCTTCAGTAGGCATGCTGACTCTTGTTTTCCTTTTCTTGCGATTTTTTTTTTTCTTTTTTTAGTTCTTAGCGGCAGCAGCAGCTCATTTTCAGCAAAAAAAGCAGGGCTGTCTCTCCTGTTTAACTCCTCTCCTAATCCCCTCCTTAGTTGAAAGATATGCATTGGAATCTACTCTAAATTTTGACAAGCATTTCTGGGCAAGTGTTTTTTGTACACTAGTGGTTTGAAGGTAGATGCCTTTAGATATGGGAAGGTGAATAGTGGTAACTATGAGGATGTAGCCTTTGACTTTGGATATAGTTGGGATCAATTTAATATCGGGTCCTTCAGAGTATCTCAAAAGAAGATCACAGAAGTCTGACTTTTTGTAGGTTCAGAGGAGTTCAGAAGTGCTCTGCCCTGCATGGATAACAGTACCGCTTGAATATACATAGTAGTGAAACTTAGAAAAGCCTTTTAAGGCTTTTAAGGGGAGTATGGGCAATAACCACTTTGTGAGAAGCTCGTGCTTGTCTAAGAATGAGCTAGATGTTTAAAAACCTGAACCTAAAAGCTTGAGTGTGGTGTTTGTATCTGGCTTCTGAATATTGATAGGAGTCCTAAACAAAGTACTTGAGAAGACTACATTAATAGAGATTATTGCTGCTAGTAGTTATGTATAACAGCTGACTAAGGAGTTAATTTATTGTTTTTCTTTCAGCTAATTGATTTGAGTTCGCCTCTTATCATCTTGAGTCCTGATGTAAACAAAGAAAATCTGGATTCCCCTCTGCTCAAGTTCTGAACTGAAGTTGAAATGAAGAATTCTTGTCATCTGTGTTCTTTAAAGTGTTTAGGTGTTACTCTTCACACATACAGTTTTATTGAAGATGGCTATAGATGATCTGAACTGCGTTAACACAATAGAATTCTAACAGTCTTGATATAGTCAAACCAATTTGGTTATGTTTAATGGTTGTGTTCATAAATGTGCTGTAATAGATGTATTTAAACTGTGTTGCTCTAAGGCAAAAAGGGATAGTCTTTATATTGGAAGCTTTGTGTCTCTTTATTTCCTGCAAATGGTCCTTTGATTCCTTATCCCCTATGTGCAATGAAGATTTAATTTAAAATAAAAGTTGTTTACCAAACTGTTGTACAAAATAGCAACCTTTTGTTACAAGCTCTGGTTAGACTATTTTAGTGTTTTACTAACAAATGTTAAGATGTAGATAAAGCTAGTGGACTTCAGGGTGGTTTTTCATACAAAAGTGTAGCAAATTTATAAATAAACACTTTACTAATGAATGGTAGTGGAATATGCTAACACCAACAGCTGAATTTGTGTGGTTCAAAGGAGAAAGCAACAGCTTGTTACTGCCAGGTGGTTTGGTCTTGAACTTGGTTAGACTTGAAATTGAATAGAAAAATGCTTTCTTAACCAAATTTGCCACACTTGGATAGTACATGGAGATTTTAAATACAAGGAGGTGAATGGAAATGGAAATGTACACAGTAGTAGCCCATAAATGTTGAAGCAACAAGCCTGTCTTGGACACAAGAGACTTCTGCTGTAGATGTACTAGCTTAACATACTTATGAAAGTTTATCAAGAGTTGGATTTTCAGCTGTTTATATTGATTCAAAAGTGGTGGAAGCTGAAGGCTTTGTTTAAGTAGGAAGAAGTGTCCAGATGAGTTTTTCCACTTTGCTGAACAAGGCTGCTGCCTTGGCTTTATGTGAAGGCACTTGCCTACTTCTCAGCACAGCTGCCTCTTGTGTGGTTACTGCAGTGTCAGACTCTGTTCTGAATGAAGGCCTTTGGCCAGACTGAAGACTCTTCTGAGTCAGAGGAAACAACCATACTATCTGCTCCTGCCAAATGTGAACCATAAAAATGTGGAATTTATATAATTTCTTTGCTTGTTCCTGCTTTCCTTCTGTGAAAAGCTAGAGGGGCATTTTCAAATGAAGCATTTACTAAAACTTTATTTGAACCGCTACTGTGCAGTTAAAAGCAACACTCAAATTATGTCCTCAACAAGTCTTTAAACAATGGGAGAAATTAGTTTGGTTGCGTATTTCTAAATTGAAACAAAGGAAGATAGTGTAAAAAAAAAAAAAACCAAAACATGAACTTTTTGGACTGATATATTTGCGATTTCTTTTTTTTCTTAAGAAGTAAATGGGTTTATGCCCAATACTCTATCAACTTGCAGGACAGTCAAGTACATTTTGTGAATGTGTGCTTCTGCAGGCAGCAGATCTAAATCCTGGGTTTGAGGATGACCATGACAACTTATGAACAAGCGGGAGTCATCTGCCAATTGAAACACCCAAATGTGTGGTCCTAAAGCAGGTACCTGGGCAGCTGAATACTCCTGGGATTCATCACCTATGTTGACTAGGAGGCTGTAGTGTTTTCTTCTGGCTTGTCCTTTGTCCAATTTGCAGAGTCCTGTTGCTCACAGACAGTTGGAGGGCTTTTGCTTGGAGTATGTGTTTGAGGGTTCTGGTTGACCTGAAGTGGGGAGGGCTCTGGGCCAGAAAGCTCTTCTGATTTTTCCACCTTTCTAGTTGGTTGAACAATTTTACTGTCTCCCCTGCTCAGCCCCTGCCCTACCCCTCCTGCAGCCATCACCCTCAACCCCCCTTCCCTGCTGCGGGAGGCACTGGCCGGCTGCGTAGCACTGAACTAATCAGTGAAAGGGGTAAAACCACCAAGAGTACTCTACTGTGTGTGTCTTTACAAGTAAGCAGGTGGTAAATGCAAGTGCTCACGCTACTTTTTACTATTTAATATCTTTATCAGTGACAGAGACAGTGGGATCTTGTGCACCCTCAGCAAGTTTGCAGACAATGCCAAACTGAGCGGTGCGGCTGACAAACATGAGGGATGGGATGCTGTACAGGGGGACCTGGACAGCTTTGAGAAGTGGGCCTGTGTGAACCATATGGGGTTCAACAAGGCCAAGTGCAGGGTCCTGCACCTGAGTTGGGGCAACCCCGGGTGGGCCCCCAATCAATACAGGCTGGGGGATGAAGGGATTGAGAGCAGCCCTGCCAAGAAGGACTTGAGAGTACCGGTTGGTAAAAAGCTGGATGTGAGCTGGCATTGTATGCTCACAACCAAGCAAGCCAACTGTATCCTGCGCTGCATCAAAAGCAGCAGGGCCAGCAGGGCGAGGGAGGTGACTCTGTCCCTCTGCTCTGGTGAGACCCCACCTGGAGTACTGTGTCCAGCTCTGGAGCCCTCAGCACAGGACAGACATGGACCTGTTGAGGCAGGTTCAGAGGAGGGTCACAAAGATGACCAGAGAGATGGAACACCTCTCCTGTGAGGACAGGCTGGGAGAGTTGGGGTTGTTCAGCCTGGAGAAGGCTCTGGGGAGACCTTGTCGCGGCCTTTCAGTACTTAAAGGGGGCCTACAAGAAGGGTGGGGAGACTTTTTACCAGGGCTCCTTGCCATAGGACAAAGGGTAATGGCATTGAAGAGGGTGGATTTAGTCTACTGTGAGGCTGGTGAGACACCAGAACACGTTGCCCAGAGAGGTGGTAGATGCCCCATCTCTGGAAACACTCAAGGTGTGGTTGGAGGGGGCTCTGAGCAACCTGGTGGAGTTGAAGGTGTCCCTGCTCATGGCAGGGCGCTGGTCTAGGTGGCCTTTAAAAGTTCCTTCCCCCACAAACC